AAACTACAATACAAATTAGAAAGTGTTTCTAATGAAATGTTCCCAAATGAAAGTCAGAGAAATAAATGAAATTGTTTAAACTGTAAATGAGGTAATTCAGATTGATATAAAAATATCACAATGTTTGAGGTAAAGCTGCTATTAGAGGAAAATTTAGAACACTAAACATATCAGAAAAAAGGAAAAGCAGAAAGCCAACAACTTAAACATATTTTTCAAGAAATTAGAAAACAGTAGCAAAGCCCTAAAATTGTAGAAAGAGAAAATACTAAAGAAAATGGCAAAAGCTTATGATCTAGGCAAAAAACATGCAATAGAAAATCAACAAAAATGTTCTTGGAAGAGGTTGATAAAGTTGACAAGACGTTGTCAAGAGTGATCATGAGAAATATAGAAAGCTCAAGTAATCAGTATCAAAGATGAAAAAGAAATGTCAATGCAGTTCCTACAGATGTTAAAATGTCATGGACATCTTTATGCTAATGATTATCAGAGTGAGAATGTAAAAGAAAGGAACACATTCGTAGTCAAATACAGGTTACTAAACAGAGACATACAATAGAGAATATGAAGAGTCATTTATTCTCAGAAGATAATTACTATAATTAAAAACTCACTCACAAGGCTTTTACCTTTCAAAAGAAGAAATGACATCAATCTTATATACTTTTCCAGAGAATAGAAAAAAAAAATTAACTCATTATGTGAGGACAGTATAACTGTTCAATGAAAATATGATAGAACCCTATAAAAAAGTAAGATTATGGGCTTTTTTTTTGAATATGATCAATTCATACTCTAAATTTTTCATTATCATCCAAAAATATGAATTGGGAAGAAACAAAACTTAATTTCGCACAGTCATCATTCTCTTTATATAGAGAATTTAAAATGATTTATAACACAAGAGTTTACAAATAACCTTGCAAGGTTCCTGATTACAAGTTCTGTGTAAAAATGTATTTTTGTAAATAACAACAAATAGGAAGTTAACAATATCAACTTACAGTAGCAGCAGCAAACAATTACTTAGGAATAAATCTAACAAAAACTGAAATAACTCTGAGCTGGAAACTAAAAAACACTATTGAGAGAAATTAAGGAAGATTTCAGGAAATGAGGAAAGGTGCCACAATCACTGGAAGGGTTGTTATTTTTAAAATGTCATTTCTGTTTAAAACTCGGCTGATTTTTTTGTGTGGATATGGATTGTAAAATTCATATGGTAATGAAAGATTCCTAAACAAAAAAATGTTTTCTATTTAGGATAACTGAAACATGGCATAAGGTAGATGCCAAAAAGATTCTGAATTACTTTAAAAAATAGATTTCATTTTTGTAGGTTGGTAGTAATATGCCAGTTTTAATTTATTTTCTTATTGTCAGTAGGTAGAGCTTACACTTGTATAAAGAAGTCTATGTGATGAGACAAGGCAAAACCCACTGCATATGCTGAGTTTTGTTTTAAATTATTCTTTATGCATTATTTTGTAAATTTGCCTAAATTATTGTGATGCCATCACACTGGTGTATTTATAAATTATTTTGTATTTATATATTATTATTATTATTTTTGTGTGTGTTGGAAGCATTCAGAAATATAACTGTCTGGGTTTTAGAAAGGATATTATAAAGCTCAGATTTCTCTAAACATTGAATTTCATGATGCATGAGTTTGGGCTAACTTTTTTTAAATTCAAATGCCACTGCTTTTATGGTAGTTATTGTCTGAATGAAAGCTCTCCTGGGACACTCTAGTACCCCAAACAGCAAGGAACCTCTATGATCTGAACTCACTAAGTATTACACTTCAGAGTTCACTACTAAATATTCCTGTGACTTTCAAGTAATTCCCTTGGCACTAGCCTTCAGATAAGCAATATTGAAACAATTGCAGCTGAAGAACTGTAAGACACTAACTAACTGACCCCTTCATTCCACCAGCCATGACTACAGCTTTGATTGAACAGGAAGCTGATTTCAGTCACTTTCTCCTAATAACGGACCACTGACTGACCATAGATGGTTCTGGAAGATTTATAGAGGTTGAGCACTGAGAGCCTTGCTGTCCCTGCTTTACTTTGTGACCTATAGGACCTAATTGTAGTACATTTAAATGTTAACGTTTCATCCTAAAGTGAAATGGGATTTATGGAACTCACATGTTTGTTCAGTACACATGCTTTAAGACTCTTTTCCATGAATATTCATAGCTCCTCCTATAATCTGTTAAATATGTACACTTAACTGACTTGTTTAGCATACATTTCTGTCTTATGCCTCCTTATTTGAAGTTCTTTTGGTCTCTGCTGGAGACTATGCTTCCTAGCCTGTCAGGATGGCCATACAGGCTGTAACTCCCTAAAAGAAAGAGAGCTCTCCTTTCTAAATTTGTAGATCTTGTGATTCTTCAGTTAACATGTTAAATTTTGTTAGCATCATGTAACTTAGAATTAACTACTTTTTAGAGTTGGTAGAAACCTTACAGATGAGTGAATAGAGTCCTAAAGAGATGAAATGATTTTAAGATAATATATCTAAGTGTGGCAAATATGTATCTGTAATAGAGGATTCTTCTCAATCCACTTGAATCACTTCATTTATATTTAGTTTTCTTGGATTTGTGGTGTACAAGAAAATGAAGAATGTGTTATATTCTTTTACAGGAATTATTATAAGGTGGGCAGCATGATGGAAAAGATATGAGCTTTGAGAGGACCTGGATTTAAATGCCCTTGTAAGCGAAAACAGGAATTGTAAAAGATAATACCTATCTTTTTACTTTAGATTGGAAAATATAGTTTACTTAGAAAGTAAATTGGAGAGAGAAAGAGAAAGAGAGGAGATTCACCACCCCAAGGTAGGGGAGGGGGCCAAAGCTTGGGGAAACATGGCGGCCATAGCTATGGCTGATAATACCTATTCTGAGACATTACATGGGATGATGACTATGAAAGCATTAGAACTTTTCATATGAAAATGCTTGATAGTCTATAAACAGTAGATATCCTTTCTCTTTCCTTTCATTTTAGAGTTGTGGAATAGCTGTGTGTTTATAAACTTAATTTATTTGAATTTGAGTTATTTTTCTACTACTCCTGTCCCTGTGATCTTGGTCAGGTTGCTTTGCTTCTCTTAATTCAAGATTCCTGAATCTGTTATATAGTTTCAGAATGATATTTATCTTATAGGGTCATCATAAGAATTAGTATTAATATAGCTCCTGGAAAATACAATATCTCATTAGGTGGGAAGTAGTAATAGGAGTGAGGCTAATTGGTGATTATTTTTTTTATTTGGAGTCTCACTCTGTCGCCCAGGCTGGAGTGCAGTGGCACACTCACGGCCACCCCAGCATTGACCTGCTGGGTTCTAGCGATCCTTCTGTCTCAGCCTTCCAAGTAACTGGAACTACAGGCGTGTGATACCACGCCTGGCTATTTTTTTTTTTTATTGTAGTGACGAGGTGTCGCCAAGTTGCCCAGGCTGGTCTTGAATCTGTGTGCTCAGGCAATCCACTTACCTCGGTCTCCCAAAATGCTGATTACAGACTGAGCCACTGAGCCCAGCAGTGATATTATTTTAAATAATCTGTCCCTCACTAGCTTTGCTTGGAAGGATCATTGCCCAGTGCTACATTAGTGGTTGTATGGAACATGTTACAGGGTTTCTCATGTAAGAAGCAGCTGGATCAAATGTTAGACTTTTGATTTGGTACTCCTATTTGAAATTAGGCTTTGTTTTCTAAGTCCATGACACAATATCATGGAATGACTCCTTAACTGGCAGCTATATAGAAATAACTTAGAACCTCATATTTGTTAGCTATAGAGGAAGACTGCGTATCTTTTGGGAGAATGCATATGGACCAGAGGTCCATAGTGACAGATCTCTAAGTCACATAATTTATAATTTTTCTTTTTTGAATTAGAGTCTGTCAGCATGGAGTGCAGTGGCATGCTCACCACCACCCCAGCGTTGACCTGCTGGTCTCAGGTGATCCTTTCACCTTTAGCCTTACAAGTAGCCAGAACTGCAGGAATGTGCTACCATGCCTGGCTAATTTTTTGATTTATTGTAGAAATGAGGTCTCGCCAGGGTTGTCCAGAATGGTCTTGAACAAGTGGGCTTATCTAAGCCTCCCAAAGCTCTGGGATTACAGGTTTGAGCCACAGCGCCCGGCCATAATTTATAACTTTAAATCAGATCATCTCAAGCCTGCTGAATTTGAGAATTTGAGGAAAATTCTTTCAACCATTTTTATTTGTTATGGTAATAGTAAAAAATAGTAACTTAATTGTATTCAATTGACAATCTAGATACATTACAAAAAAAATGTTATACTTAACCAGGGCACAGTGAGTCTGTTTACAGGATACATTTTGTAGCCTTAAGAATGAATCTGCTGCCGGGCTCGGTGGCTTAGCCTGTAATCCCGCACCTTTGGGAGGCCGAAGTGAGTGGATTGCCTGAGCCTGCGGGTTTGAGACCCGCCTGGGCAGCGAGACCTCAT